GACTATAATGACAGATAAAGGTTAAAATTCAGGGCTGCTTGTGTAGTACCTCTCAGAAAAGCCAACATGTTAAGATTCTTATTTTAGTACCCCAGGAAGCATGTTTGGGAGGAAAGATGCTAACTTGAGATGCACATTGCAAAAAACCTATGAGATAATAAATACCAGCACCACCTGCCTTGATCTGCTTAGGCTTCTGTAAAAGAATTCCATAGGATGAGTAACTTGTGAAAAACAAAAACTTATTCCTCAGAGTTCTGGAGGTTGAAACATCCAGGATCAAGACACTGGCAGATTTGGTATCTGGTGAGGGCCCTTTTCCTAGTTCATAGATGGCCTTCTGGTCGTGTTCTCATGTGATGGAAAGGAAAGGCAGCTATTTAGAGATTCTTCTATCTTATTCATGGTGCTTCTGGCCCCCTGGCCTGATGACCTCCCAAAGGCCCTGTCTCCTAATACCATCACCTTGGGCATTAGGTTTCTAACCTACGAATACAAGGGGAAGGTGGACACAAACATTCAGACTGTAGCCCTGCTTCAAACCTTACAATGTGGCCTATGGGACCTTCTGTAGCCAGTAGACTTGGATCTGAGAGCTATGCAGTGACCTTTCCCCTGCCTATAGCCAGCTGTCCTTTCAGAGATAACACATACTGGTCAGAAACACCTCCCATACCTTCAGAAATTATTGCCACTACTAATCAGAGAAGTGGACCAGTTTGCCAGTATGGCTAACAAGAAGATCTTCTTAAAGTTTGTATTAGTCAACTTTGCATTGCTGTGACAAAATGCGTGCTGTAAATCAGCTTATAGGGAAGAAAGGTTTACTTGGGCTTCTCATTTCAGAGGCCTTTGTCTTTGGGCCTGTGGCAAGGGAGTACATTGTGTTAGGAGCACATGGTGGAAGAAGCTCTTCACCTCGTGGCAGCCAGGAAGAAAAAAAGAGAGACAGAAAGGAGCCAGGGTTCCAGTATCTCCTTCAGAGGCACACCTCCAGTGACCTAACTTTCTCCCACTAGCGCCTATCTTAAAGTTCTGTCACCTTCTGTTAACACCATTAACTGGAGGCAAAGCCTTTTATACATAGGTCTATGGGGGGCACTTATGCAAACCATAGCACAGTAGTACCCTCTTCTACGTGGTACCCTTCTTTGCTTGGAGTCCTGTGGTGAGTGCTCCTATAACTTCAGACTCTTTGGCTTGATAAAAAATCATCCTTCATACCTGGCTTTTGTCCTGATGTTGATCATATTCTCAGTAGTCATGGGTCGTCTTATGTCTCTCCCACTATATGCTGGACTTCAGAGGACAGGGATTTTATCTTACTTGTTTCCGTATTCCCCACTCTGGGCCTGCAGAGGATCTCAGTAAGTACTGGTTCATTGGTTTGTGGGTGAATGGAAATGTTATGATATTGCTAAACTCTAATGTGGCTATGTCTTTTTCTCTGTAAGGACTTCGGCATTATGTTCGTGCACCACCTTGTATCTATTCTGTTGATCACCTTTTCCTATGTCAACAATATGGCCCGAGTAGGGACCCTGGTCCTCTGTCTTCATGACTCAGCTGATGGCTTTCTAGAGGTAAAAATTTTCCTTCATCTTTATTAATACAAAAACCAGAACTCTTGACGTCCCCAAGTTATAAGTTCTTCTGTGTTTTGCTACGTGGTACTCTGAACTCTGGGGTGTTTTTTGTAGTTAATGAAAATGAGACTATAGTATATAAACTTTTATACCAAGAAGTTGATCATCTTAGCTTTATTAATGGAGTGATGAAAATCTTTACTGTTTCACATTTTAAATGATTTTGCAATTAAAAGTCATTATTTTGCTAGGTTTTGTGTTATAAATTTCACACTACTTGGGCCGAGCATTTAGCTCAGTGTTTCCAGCACCTGCTTCAGATGTACAAGGGCCTGAGTTCGATCCCTGGTACAAAAAAAAAAAAAATTACACTGACTTACCTGAAAATTGTAGATAACTTTGTATAGTTACTAATGGGAACTGTACATACATCCCAACAAAATGTTTTGTTTTGTTTTGTTTTGTTTTGCCAATGTACATGTTTTCTTAGTATTTTTATGATACAAAGGGTATACAAATTCCAAATTATGTATAGATACTGTTTAAAGAATTCACCACTTTTTGTGTATGTGTACTGGGATTGAATCCAGGACCTTCACACTGAGCTCCGTCCCCAACTCTTGTATTGTAATTTTTAAATTTTGAGACAGGATGTCACTAAGTCACAAAGTTGCTCAGGCTGGGCTTGAACTTGTGATCCCCCTGCCTTACTCTCCGAGAGCATACAGTGCATACAACACCACCCCTGGCTAAGAGTTTACTGCCTTAACAATCACTGTCAACAGTATTAATTGTGGCCAAATAAAAGGCTTTTCACTTTATGTTAAATATATTTATATGACTGGTCAAAATTAATTTACAGGCCGGGGATTTAACTCAGTGGTTCTGCTGCCTGCCTCGCAAGCGGGAGGTCCCGAGTTCCATCCGCGGTACCAAAAAAAATAAAAAATAAAAAAATTAACTTACAGGAGTATACATTCCAAAAAGTAGAAATGTATCTTAGAATCTGTATTCCAATTTTTAAAATTACTGTTGCCCCACCAGTTTGCCACCTTAGGCACTTTATCCTTACTGTGAATACAGAATCAAGTTGTCCTCCAGTGGTGATGTTATTACAACATCAGAAAAGTCTATCGCACTGAATCTGCTATTATTGAACTGGTTAAGGTTTAGAGTAGATGTGAGACCTTGTTAAAACTCTGGTCCCCAAAGGAGCTCTGGGACTGTGGAGTAGGTGACAGGAGCAAAGCTCATTCTCCTGAGCTGGAAAAAAAAAATGCAGGGACCAGAAATTATCATTGAAATTAAATGGTGGCGGACATGTCCAAGGACTATTTCGAGGACTTGATCCCTTTTTTAATTTTGTGATGGGGACTGTGTGGAGATGGCAACTAGTGAGCAACGGAAATAATGCTAGAGGGACGGTAATACGAGGAATCACCATCATCAGGTTGGAGGCATGGAATGAGATTAAATAATGGCTGTTCATCAGAGAAACCATATCCCCGCTCTGGGGAGCCACTCTCACTGTGACTGAAAACTGGCTTATGTACATTTTCATAATAAAATTTTTATTAAATTTAAAAAAACAGATCCCTTTCATACTATAAAACATAAAGACAGCCCTACTGGGCTAGATAAATCAGAAAATGATTTGGTGCTATAATACTTAAGTGATTCAAGCTCAGCTCTATTCAACATATTTTTAAAAGAAGAAATATATTCAACATGAGGGCAGTTCCCTGAAAATCAATTATCATTTGGTTAAATCCTGTAGCTCAGAAGTAGAAATGTATACAGCAACCTACAGTTTCAAAATCAACCCTGTACAGTCAGCCATCTTTAATACTTGTGGAAATCCCTGCCATGATGCTTGGTAGAGCCAAGATTCAGAAAATATTGGTTCAGTTGTCATCTACTACTTTTATCCAGAAAAGAAAAAGAAACCAGAAATCCCAGTCAGATACCTTAAGCAAAGTATTCATTACCTGAATTCTCTGTGAGATCATAAAATTACTCCTCAGAATTTTACATTAATGGGTCTTCAGAATGGGACCTATGATCTGGACATTTAGGAGAAGTTTATATTCATGCTTATTTATTAAATACTGATAAATGAATGTAAAGGAAAAATTACAAGCTTTACCTAAAGAAGGCCAAAGGTGCTTTTTATTTTACCACATTTCACGGGGTTACATCCAAATAGTCATAAAATTAAGAGATCCCACTCTGGCTTCCTAATCAGTTAGTGGATATTTCCTGTTAGGGATATATTTCTCTTATAGCTTTGTGCTTTACTTAAAGCTATTAAATTATAACTTTTGAGGACGTTATCTTCAAACATGACTCAACTAATTTAATTTTCAAATAAGTAGAAAATAACGTTAGAGATGCAGAAGATATCTTCAATTTGTAACTGTATATAGGTACTCTGAATTGTATGTAAAAATATAAAAAGTGGTGATCAAGTAAAAATCTGTTTTCAGTCTCACCTCCTCTTGGAATCAGCTGAAAAAGTGATGGTAGAGAAAGGGACATTTTTTCTTTCCCAGTCTAATTTATAATAAAAATGGTTACTTACGTCACAGTCATAAATTATGAGAGTACTTCTTGCAGACACTTTGAACATTAGTGACGTTCATTTAAAAAATGGCCTGGTACTGTAACTTTGAAAACTATCTAAATGGATCAGTTGAAATAATAGGATCTTGATACTTTCTCATTTCTAAGTTTATGAGACAAAGCCAGGAAACTGTCACCCCAGAGTACTCCCTGTGCCTGTTTGAAGAAAACCTATAATTCTAAGCGGAGAGGAAGACAGATGCACAAACATTCCATATAGTCTGTACCAAGCTTGTGGGCTCAGTATTTGGGACTCAGTAATGGTTTGAAGGGTTTTCCAGCACCTTCTGTCTTGACCCATTAGTGCCAGGTTTCTGTGCTGGCATCTGGCTTGCTAATATCATTTATAATGCAAAAGTTTCTTATTTTTCCTCTCTGTTTTCCTGAAATCAGCCATATAATTGAATTTCTCAGGTTGCTGAATATTTTATTAAGTCTGTGACAGTTGGTAGTTCTACTTACAGCTAATGCTGCATTTCATTCACTTATGGGTAATTTATAAATACTGATTGTGGTGCATGACATTTTAAAGTAGCAGGAGATTGTATGCATCTGGTATCTTTTAGGGGACTCGTGCATATTGAGAGAAACTGTCATTTATCAGTTTGATTCAATTAATATGGTACATTCTTTCCTTTGACAGGCTGCCAAAATGGCAAATTATGCCAAGTTTCAGAAAATGTGTGATCTTCTGTTTGTTATGTTTGCCATGGTTTTTGTCATCACACGGCTGGCTATGTTTCCTCTCTGGTGAGTATGCCGGTCTTCTTTCTGATCAAGCCATCTCTTCCCAATAAGCTTTGCAAAGCATTTTCCGTTTGAATTTCACTCCAGATACTTAGTAAGAAGTTTAAAGAGAGTCAGGAAGAAACTCAAGAGACAGCTTGATTTCTTCTTCTGAAGGAGAGTTGCCTTCTTTACTTATATTTTCCACAGCACAGTTAGAGAAGGATGTGGCTTATTTAGGTCCTAAAGAAAGCATCCACCACTTTAGGCTGTAGTCTAGAATACAACTCAAAAACCTCAGCTCTGGAAGTTTGAATGAAGAAAAGAAGTGTTGTAAGGAGGTATATATATATGAGGGCCCTCTGTGTCAGGAGCTGACAGAGGGTAGCCACTCGCCAGCAGCACCTAGGGACTTGTTAGAAATGCAGATTCCTGGGCCTCATCTGCAACTCATGAGTCAAACACTCCAGAGATAAGGCCTGGTTATCTGAGTTTTGATAAGGCTTCCTGATAATTCTGCCACACAATAAAGTTTGAAAACCACTGTCTTGAAAAATTCTCATCAGCTACATTTATAGCTAAGGCAGATGGAAGGCATAATTCTTAAACCCTGAAATTGTCTATGTCTCCTTAATGTCTAGATGGTTTTTCTTCTTTTGAGAGCTAAGAAAAAGTTATGACATATTTTGATGGAACTTGGCAATACTTCCCACAGAAAATAGGCCCTCTGTCGCCAGTCTTCTTCTGGAAGGATATTTGATCTAGAAAAAAAAAGAATAAACCTTCATATAACTTGAAGTCTACCATTGATGCTAGATTATTTGTTTCTATTTTAAAATACTGATTCGAATGGGAAATTCAAGCAGTAGAAATAGGAGAAAGTAGAGAAATGAAAGGATACAATGATACCTGACACTCTGCCCTGTTTGAAAAATAACAATAATAAAGTTGAAGCCTTTAAATGAATAATACCTGTCAGTAGGATCCCATTAATGAGTTATCAACACACGCACACCTGCTCACCTACACATACAGCTGCACACAGGGCTTCTCCCTGAGGCTTGCTACCCTTTGGACACTTTCTTATTATGAAAATCATTTCCAAGTGGCAGCACTATATTGGCAATAGAAATTTATAAAACCTCATTATAGTTTTATATGATTAGAGGTAGGAAACACTGAATAATTTTGAATATAATGGGTCTATAATTATTCTAGTGTTGGAGCTCTTTGAAGATTGCTAGCACAACAAGGGGTAAGAATTTAAATAGAGGAAATTCAAGCACAATCCAGAACATAATTCCTCTGAAGAATTACAGAAAGCTTTTCCTCCTCAGAATTTCTGAGATCTTGAATGTTTTAAAGAAACATGGTTCACTATTGAATGCTTTGATTTGCTCCTTCCATTTAAGGATAATACTAAAATTAAGATGCATCTCTTTTCTTTCCCTGGGGTTAATATGTAAAAGCTCTGGGGTTTAGACATCAATAAGTTACCTAGAACACAGACCCTCGGAATTAATTCTTGTGGGTTCAAAATCCTGTCTCTGCTGCTTAATTAACGCCTTTGTGCAGAGATTTCATCTCTTCAGCAGCGATGATGATGATGCCTGCTTCACTGTGTTATGACATTAAATGAGATCATATCTCCTCAGCGCTAAGAAAAAGGTTAGGTTCACTGTAATTGCTATGTAATTCTAAGCCTTTTTTTTAGTGACGTGATAAAATGAAAGCAGAGACCTCTTAGGAATCATTAAGAAAAAACAGGCCAGTAATTCAACAGAAACATTTGGAATGGCTGTAGGTACATTTCAGAAAAATATAAATGACAAAATTGTAAAACTATTTTTATACACCTGTAATGCCAGCACTCTTGAGGCTGAGACAGCATTGCAAGTTCAAGCTCATCTTGGGCAACTTTGGACGCTGTCTCAGAATTTTAAAAAATAAATAAATTAAGGGCTGGGGAGGTAGCTCCCCTCCATACGAAGGCCCCATCTTCAATTCTCAGTACCACAAATGTACTTATGTACACACAAACATGTATTAGCACACTGTAAGTGAAGAAATATAAATTACAGCTTCAGGGAATAGACAGTGCTTCTACAGGGTAGGACTGAGGTCTAGAAAGGCACAAGTCTCATAACCAGTATTTCTTACTCGTGGGTGTGTGTGAGAGTTGAAGCACACTGGGACCCCATCTCCTACCTTTGGAAATTCTGATTGACTTGGTCTTGGAGGCACCTGAGCATAGTTTTTTTAAGGCTCCCAAAATTACTGTGCAGCCGTCTCCCGCTGTGTGTCCTTCTGCAGTCCTGGCAGAGATACTGATGCGAGGAAATGCCAGTGATATACCAAGTAAAAAGCAAGGAATAATCCTTGTACCTTTTTTTTTTTTAATTATGAGTTTTGAAAGGTACCCATACAGCAAGTTACTTCCCTCTGGGCTGAGGACGTACTAAAAATGACTTCTTTCATCATACTTACCCTGCTTTAACCTTTCTAAAGTAAACGTGTGTTGCTTTTATAAATGAAAACTTTGAATTTAAAAAACGTAAGTGATTTTCCATGTATGGTGAAGAGAGATTTAATATTGCATGTGTATTATCATATTAACTTTTATATCAACTTTACTGAATAGATTCATATGCCATAAAATTGACCCTTTCACATTATAAACCTCATTGTTTTGCATTCAGAGCTGTACAGCCATTACTGCAGTCAAGTTTTAGAATATTTTTATTACCCCTAAAAGATAGATCCATTAGGGCCAGGGATTTAGCTCAGCAGTTCGGTGGCCTGCCTTGCAAGCGCAAGGACCCGAGTACAATCCCAGGTACAAAAAAAACCAGATAGATCCATTAGCAATTCTTCTCCATTCTTCCCTCCACCAGCTCCCGGCTGTGATTAATCTGCTCTCTCCATGTATTTGCCTATTCTGGATATTTTATATCAATACTTTCATACAATAAGATTTTTTTATGACTGGGTCTTTTCAGTTGGCCTAATATTTTCAAGGTTTACCTTGTGCTCATGAGTCAGTATTTCTGTTGCATGGATATACCACAGTTTGGCTATTAGGAATAATGCTGTCACTGATCTTTATGTACAAGTTCTTTATTTTCCAGTATTGGGCATTGAACCCAATTTGCACTGAGCTCCATCTCTAACCCTTTTTAAAATTATTGCTAACTTGAGACAAGGGCTCACTACATTGCCCCAGGCTGGGTTTGAACTTAGAATCCTCCTGCTTCAGCCTTCCAATAGCACTGCTTATACAAATTCATCTGTGAACACGTTTTTAATTCTCTTGGGTGCAAACCTAGAAATATAATTTCTGGATTATATAGTAACTCTGTGTTGGACTCTTGAAAAGGTTACCAGACTTTTCCAAAGTTGTCGCACCGTTTTACATTGAGCAGTTACATTCAGCATTACATCAGCAGTGTATGGCATCCGTACCACACTTGTTGCTCTCTGACATTTCGTTCTGTATTCATCCTTGTAGGTAGGAGGGTAGTATCTTATTGTAGTTTTGATTTGCATTTCAAATTATTACTCATTTTAATTGTGTTTTCTATTATAAAAGTTTGATCTATTTCATTATAAATGTGATAATAAGACCCTCATCAGGTATATAACTTGCATATTCCTCCTTTCCTGAGCATTGTTTTTCCACTTCCCTAATGGAAATCTTTAAAACACAAAAGTTTTTAGCTTTGCGGAAGTCAAACTTATCTGTTTGTTTTTCTTTTATCGCTTGTGTTTTGGTGTCAAAAGTAAGAAATCATTGCAAAATCCAAGGTCATGAAAATTTAATCCTGTGTTTTTTCCTAAGAGTTTTATAGTTATACTAACTTCTTGTGGGTCACTTTTGTTTGAGGGTAATTTTTGTGCATCATAAGAGGTAAGGATCCAGTTTCATTGTCAGGTATGTTTACGTAGTCAGGTGCCCTGACACCATTTTGGCTTTTCATTTCCTATGACCATCACCATCACCACACAACTCCATAGGAACAGCTCTGTGTCATTCCTCTGATGCTGCATTATCCCACACTGAGTCATCTGTCCTGCCTGGGAACTCTTTATCGGATAATCCAGGAAGTAGAGACACATTTTACGGCCTTTCCCCTCCTGGGACACTGTCCAGGGAAGTGGAGATCATTTCTGTTGAGGGGACATCCGGGGCACACCCCAGCCCCTCCCACACACAGCTCACCAGAATAGAGCTTGCCATTTTGTTCCTTCTCCGTGATGTCACTGTCCTCTGTGGTTTCACTGCACAGACGGCCCTCACCAGTGCCTAGCCTCAGTTCCCAGCATGTGACTTTACCCCAGAAAGTCCAGCTTTGAGAGCTGTTGCGTGTATGTAGCCTTGGCCCTGCTAACTTGTGGTATGTTCAGGAGGGAGAGAGTATTAAAGTGGCCAAAGCCCCTCTTGACCATACCCACCCTGCAAGCACAAGCTTGCAGCAGAAGCCTATGCCTTGCCTTTTATTGTTTCCCTATTCTGATGCAAGATTGAAAGACAAGAAGAGTTTGAGTTGGGAAGAAACCATTATAATTACACAGTTCAGCCACTGCGTGAATGATTCCGGAGAAAGGAGACTTTCTCTCTCTAAGACAGCCCCTTCCAATTCTGCACTGAAGTAACTATGAGAGAGTTCTGCCAGGGCTGTCAGTTTACCTCCCAATACCTCCCCTTTTCTTCCTAGTTGGAGCCTAATTCCTATTGTGCACCACAGCCCAGAAAGTATTTAAACACAAACAAAACCAAAGAAAAACTCTTGTACCTCCCTTACCTGTTATCTTTGTTAAGATAAACATTGTAAATTCATTTAGTTTCCTCTTTCTCTGACTTTCATGCTTGTTTTCCCTGATTCTGAATTGTATTGCATCGAATCTTTGGAAGTGGCTGGGCGTGGTGGCACACACATGTAATCCCAGCAGTTGGGAGGCTGAGGCAGGAGAATCGTGAGTTCAGGGCCAGCCTAGGTTACATAGCCGAGAGACTCTGTCTCAGA